GGGCTGGGGGTGGGGGGAAAGCCCCCTCCCCAGGAGGTTGTGCCATCCCGCACTCACATAGCCCTGCTGCTGGGGGGGAGGTCTCAAAGGGGGTGGTTCCTGGGGTGTTTGAGGAGGGGAGGGGAGGGGAGTGGAGTGGGCCAGGCACCTCCCAAGGGCTCAGGCACTCCCGCTCTCATTCTCTGTTTTGTGTGTTTGTTTGTCTCCTTCTGCAGGTTGTGAGGGCCATCAACGCCATTCTGCTGCGCAGGGTCATTCGCCTGGGAGACCTAGACCTGATCGTCAAAAGGGGGTGGTTCCTGGGGTGTTTGAGGAGGGGAGGGGAGGGGAGTGGAGTGGGCCAGGCACCTCCCAAGGGCTCAGGCACTCCCGCTCTCATTCTCTGTTTTGTGTGTTTGTTTGTCTCCTTCTGCAGGTTGTGAGGGCCATCAACGCCATTCTGCTGCGCAGGGTCATTCGCCTGGGAGACCTAGACCTGATCGTCACAAGATTTGCTACCCAGAGTTTCCCCAACCACAGTGGAGCCATAGATGGAACTCACATCCCAATCCGAACACCAGGCCATCGAGCGGCCCCAATACATCAACAGGAAGGGCTACTTTTTGATGGTGCTGCAGGCCCAGTTCGACCACCGTGGACAGTTCGCGGACATTTTTGTCAGGTGGTCGGGCAGGGTGCATAACGTCCATGTGTTCTGAAACTCCAGCCTCTATGGGGAGCTGGAGGCTGGCACATTCTTCCCCCGGTGTGACTCTGTGTTTGGGGATGTGAAGATGCCACTGTGCATCATGGGCGACGCAGCCTACCCCCTCATGCCATGGCTGATAAAGCCATATACTGGCCTCCTGGACCCCAGCAGGGACCAATTTAATTCCCATCTCAACTGGGCCCACATGCAGGGGGAGTGCACCTTCGGCTGCCTCAAGGAGCAGTTCAGGTGCCTCCTGACCTGCCTGGACGTGGGGGAGCACAACATCCCCTGGATGGTGTCGGCGTATTGGGTCCTCCACAATATCGTGGAGAAGAATGGGGAGGCCTTCTTACATGGGTGGGGGGCAGGGGCTAGCAGGGGCTAGCTACAAAGGGAGGGCCTGTGAGCAGCCATGGACAGCTGCCATCTGCCAAGCCCATCAGTTTGGGGCGTGCATCTGGAGGCCCTGAAGGAGAGTTTCTCTCAAGGTCCTCAGTAACTCTCCCC